CACCACTTGCTTTGTGAAAATATGGAAAATACATTTTTGCAAATTTACTGTAAAAACCTTAAGAGCCTATAACAACGGTGCCATTTCCCCGGATCCCCACAAAAAAACACCCCAAAAATTTCAGGGGAAAAATTTAAAAAGGAACAATAACAAAAGACAAATGAATAAGCACCCCCTTCTCTTAGCTGGAGACTTCAACATCAACCTTAGCCTACTAGATAATCAGCCAAACCCGATTTCATCAACAATATGAACAACCCCTTTCTCCCCCAACAATAACTAAACCAACCAGGCTCACTGAAAACAAGTGCAACCCATAATGACCAATTGGCCCAAAATTACAGCCCCCAAAAATCGGGGATAATCACAGATAGCACTACAACCCTACCCCCCTTTCCCTCTTGAAAACATTAGTAAACCACCATTTAAAATAAACAAAGTTTCATTAGACTCCATGAGGGGCCCTCAAAAAGGGTTCACCTGAACCTGAGACTTTTGCGGCTCAGAATTCTCCAAGGCCAAGGAAATGATGATGGACAGACATTTTCTTAAAAAATTACTTAGATATACAAAAAAACATTTTCCTATAAAAAAGAAACGATCACAAAAAACGGCTTTTGGGTTTCCCATGGCTAACCAGCACCATTCTGAAATCCATTGATAAAAACACCCAAAATAAAAACAAAATAGACAGGGCCTAATCCAAAAATAATCTTAAAAACTATTCTCTTCACCAAGTAATAAAGAAAGCCAAAAAAACTATACTACTCCCCGTAGTTCATACACAAGAGGGAATAAAAAGACCGGAAAACACTCTCTCAATTTAGGGACCCCCAAACTGAAAAAAACCAAAAATTTTGTCCTAATAAACCCAATGAAAAACCCCGCATCCACTGAACAGTAACAAATAAAGACTTTTTCTCAAAAATAGGTTTAATTCCCCAATAAAAACCCACTACCAAGATGCCAGGGTACCTAGAGGGAAATTTCCCAAATTTTTATCTTGCTCCCAAATGAGCCCAGGAAGTCACCAGATTATAAAGTCACTTAAAAATAAACCAGGGAATCTGCCCCTGTCCCACCATTATTGACCCAAAGGGGGCCATGTCCTTTGATGCTATCTCATTTTTTCTTTTTAAAAAGTGACTTGAAACTGCACCCTTCCCCCAAAACTACTCACGACGGAAGGGGTTACACCAATACTAAAAGGGGGGACCCTACGATTTAAAAAAAACTATAGGCCAATTCAAACTTCCCCTTTCTACCAAAAACTTTTGGAAACTCGTGCACAGGAACTATATTCATTTATAACCCGCCCAAAGATACCCAACCCCCCCAATTTTGGGTTCAGGAAAAAAAAACACTAACAAGCAATTTATAAAAATGCGATCTGCTTTACACAGCATTGGAAAAAAAGGAATATCCATAGGAAATTTTATTGACCTAGAAAAGCTTTTGACACAGAGACCCCGGCATCCCCCCCCAAACTGACCCTTATGGGTTTAAAAGGCCCTGCGCTTGCATATTTCAAATTTACCTTACTAATGGTACAGTTGTCACCATTAAAGACACACAAACAACACAGCCATTGATACTGGGTTTTTTGCAGGAAGTGTCCTTGGCCCCCGCTCTTCCCCATTCATCAATGATCTTCCAAACTATTCAAACCTGAACCCCATTTTTTTTGCTGACGACAGATTTTGTCATCTTCACCCCAAACTTGCCCCCTCAACACAGTTAATGAGGAAACTGATCAAATTCGACTTTGGGGGGACAGCCAAAAAATTATGCTTTCGCTGACAAAACCTAACCCCAATTATTTTGGAGCAAGAGGAAATGCGCAAATTTTAAAATTAAGATCGACAACACTTTATTTTCCGATAATGAGGGCAAATTCCTAGGCCCATACCTCGCAACAACCCGAACTTCGCACCCATATCCAACACATAACCAAAAAAAATATCCCCAAAGGTTGGGACCTCTCCAAAATACGTATACGTGCCGCAAAGCCCTTCTCCCCCTATACCATTTTACTTTTATTCCATACCTCACCCTTCTATCTGTGCTGGGGTTCAACTGCAGCAACACACCAAAACCTTAAAAACCCAACAAAAAGCCGCAGTAAGAAAAATCACTAAAACCCACCCCTGGCAACACACCCCCCCCCACTCTTCATAGATCTAAATTACTCCCTGTTCGTACATCCACATTTTACTACTGTGCAATTCTACATCTACAGGCCCTTTAAAATTCCAATATTAAGCTTGAACTAAAATCCCTTCTTGATAGTTGTGACAGAACCCACAGGCACAACACCAGACACAAACCATCTCTATGACATTCCCAGTGTCCAACAAAACCTTTACAAAAATTCAATGTATGTCAAAGGCCCTAAAATCTGGAACACCCTACCTGAAAATTCTAAACACTGCAGACACATTCATCCCCTTCAAAACTACCATCAGAAAACATCTTATCTCCCTGATACACCCTGTCAAACTAATTACATGAATATCACCTGGTGGTTAACACTTACATCACTCACCCATTTGACCATAAACAGAAATATCAATCTCAATCTCAAAATAATGAATCTTAACTAGTCATAAGTTGGCCTGTGATACTTTCCCAATACTGAAAACTAGTATGTGCCAAAACAAAAGCTTCATGTTGCTAAAACTCACAAACTGTATTTAGTCACTTAGCCATAATACCAACTTACCTCATAATTTTGTAATATTTTAAACTTAAGATTTAGTTTAAGTCTGCCTGAAATGCCTAGCCATGCTAGGTGTTCTAGTGGTACACTCTGTAATTATTATTTTACTACATGTAAACCACACAATAACCAAATTCTGTAAACTCAGCATTGTAATCCTTAGAGAATAAACTTTGAATTTGAAACCATGGTCAGCTGCTGCTGCACCACAGTCAGCTGTTGCTGAACCATGTTCAGCGGCTGCTGCACCACAGTAGTCTGTTGTACTACGGTCAGCTGCTGCTGTATCACAGTCAGCTGCTGCTGCACCACCATCAGCTGTTTCTGACCAACATGACTCGTCCAGAACCTGTCCATCCAGCCCTGCCGTCATTGTTTACAAGCCAGGGTGGCTGGTTGCATGCATACATTCGATACATTTTGTATTATTCCATTGTTTATAGTGCTTGTAACTGCTAAATAAGCCACCATGGGCCCAAAGAAATCTTCTAGTGCCAACCCTGTGGTAAAAAGGGTGAGAAATATGTACTCTTGTAACACGGTCAGCTGCTGCTGCACCACCGTCAGCTGTTGCTGCACCTCCGTCAGCTGTTACTGCACCACAGTCGGCTGTTGCTGCACCACGGTCAGCTGTTGCTGCACCACGGTCAGCTGTTGCTGCACCACGGTCAGCTGTTGCTGCACCACGGTCAGCTGTTGCTGCACCACAGTCAGCTGTTGCTGCACCACGATCAGCTGTTGCTGCACCAGTCAGCTGTTGCTGAACCATGGTCAGCTGCTATTGCACCACGGTCAGCTGCTGCTGCACCACAGTCAGCTGCTGCTACACCACCATCATCTGTTGCTGCACCATGGTCAGCTGCTGCTGCACCAAAGTCAGCTGTTGCTGCACCACAGTCAGCTGTTGCTGCACCAGTCAGCAGTTGCTGAATCATGGTCAGCTGGTCCTAGTGGCATTAAAAGAAGAAGGGAAGTAACCCCGGAAAAGGACGTGCTACCTAAAGTCCTAATGGAAGGGGATTCCCTTTCTAAACATTAACAACTTCCACACTCTCCCCTCCTCCCATCCCATCAATTATCACCAGATCTTCAATAAAGGCAAGTGTCAGTTTGTGTGTATTAAAATTAATATTTCATGTGATAATTTTTTTTTTTTCATACTTTGGGGTGTCAGGAATGGATTAATTTGATTTCCATTATTTCTTATGGGGAAAATTAATTCACTTTACGATAATTTCAGCATACGATGAGCTTTCAGGAACGGATTAATATCGTGAGGTGGGGGGTCCACTGTATTACCGAGTGAGCTGCATTCACCGATGTTGCCATAAGCGGTTCACTTTCTGTCAACTTCATGCCTCTATATCTCGGTAAATACTGAACACAAAAAAAAAAAAAAAAAAAAAAAAAAAAAAATATTCTTTTAAAACACTCACAGAAATGTTCTTAAGATTTTGGTAAGGATTTTTTTTTTTTCGAATATTTCTCGACACAGAGAGCGACTTCAGGATCAGAGGTCTCAACAGTGAAAGGGTTAAGATACCAGTCAGCATAATAAGATAAGATTTGTTTGGACTTTTAACCCAGGGGAAGGTAAGCCCCTGTAATCCTAGATAATTTACACTACGTATGACAACTGTACTTAAGTATATCTGTGCCAAAATAAACTTACTTATCCATCCAAGATAACTAGGAAAGTCAGTGCATCATTGGGGATTGTTCGTCTTATTTCCATCAGGGTCCTTCAATCTTGTCCCTTGGGATAAGATACACACCAAGTCAGCTAACACCCAGGTACCTACTTACTGCTAGGTGAACAGGGACAGCAGATTTAAGGAAACATGCCCAATGTTCTCACCCAAGCAGGGGATTGAACCATGGACACTCAGTGTATGAGGTGAGCATGCTGCCAAATGAGCCACATCAGAAGTTTCCACATGAGGAAAGATGATCCAAGGAAGGAGATACATATGTTTCTATTCAGAATTTGCGCCAGTCACTTCGTTTACTTTACTCTGTGTTCACCAATGTGGTGCTCATGGTTATGCACACAGATGAGACACTTGTGCAACCAGAGACAAGTTGAAGAAATGGAGACCTTGAAGTATTTAATCCTGACAATGTTATTATACACATTAACACAGTCCCTGACAATGTTACCATAAACATCAACACAGTCCCTGACAATGTTACCAAAAACATTAATACAGTCCCTGACAATGTTACCATAAACATCAACACAGAACCCAACAGTATTACCATAAACATCAACACAGAGTACCTGAAAATCAACGTGCCGACTCTTGGCCTCTTCCTTCTCCCATGACATGCGGATAAAGGGTCGCTGGACATAGTTGTATATAACTTCTGCTCGGCCACCTGCAATAATAATAATAATGATAATAATAATAATGATAATAATAATAATGATAATAATAATAATAATAATAATAATAATAATAATAATAATAACAATAATAATAATTTTATTTGAGGATACATTTGTACAAAGGAGTATAACAGTTGGGTGTACATGCCAAAAGCCCCTTTATATGCAGAGTATTTCAGTCAAATTTAAGACTAACTTAAGATTAATAAAAGCAATAAGAGTGAAGTAATTTTGTACATAAGGTCATTAGGCGAGTTACAATGAATACAAGAGAACCGAATATTCTATTAGTTCATGCTATATGGCTTTAATAAGTGTGGTAGAGAAGAATTACAGTTTTCATTATTAACCTAAGGTGGACATAATGGAATGATTAACCCTTTGAGGGTCAAGAGGCCCTCTCCCAAACTCGTTCTCAGGGTCAAAAATTTTTCAAAAAAAAAAAAAAAAAAAATTATTTTTTCTTATGAAATGATAGAGAATCTTTTTCCGATCATGATGACACCAAAAGTATGAAATTTGATGAAAAACTTACGGAATTATGCTCTCGTGAAGTTAGTGGTCTCAAAGTTGGCGATTTCGCCCACTTTGAGCCCTATTTTCGGCAAATTCCAATGTAGCAGTTGACTAAGCTTATAGCTATTTCCCTAGAACTCCATTTGTTCTATCATCTGAGTACAAGAATCTGCCCATTTACTGATTTCAACTACCCAATAAAGTGGTCAGAAATTGGCAATTTGGGCAATGTCACAAAAATTCCAAAAGATGCCAATTTCAAAATAGGGTCCAGAATAAACAAGACAGACATTCCTGGCACTAAAATAATATTTTATCTGTTCATTAGTCACGTCTCTAGGCACCTCTTACATTATTACTTTTGCTTTCCATTTTGAATTTTTATTCTCACAGAAAATAGAATTTTTTGTTATGTATACTACTGCATCATTGTAAAGACAGTATAAATGATATCAGCGCACTTGTGAAAGAATATTAGACTCACCAGTTGATGTGTATTGGACACATAACTTGATTTGTTTATTCTTGAATATCGGCAAAAATCAATCATTTGCCCTACTTTGAGCTCAATTTCAAGGTACTTGTCATTGTGAAACCAATCAAAATCATCCCTAATTCTATAATATATCTTCCATTCTATCAAACGAGACCAAGGAAACGAGAATACAACCATAAATATCATATGAAAATTCACTAGACAGTCGCTGTTTTAAACCTAAAACACAGTCAAAGTTTTTTTTCTTGTTATGCACAGCGTGCTTCAGGATGTTTTTTATACTGTGCACACTGACCACACAGACCCATTCTTTCATATGTAGGCTTGCCAGCTTTCTTCCACCAGATTTGAAGGCGATAGAATTTAGGTGTACGTATAAGTATGTGACTGACCCTGGCTGCAATGACATACTTGTACTTGACCAACCCTCAAAGGGTTAATATTTGAGAGGATTACAGATATTGAAATTACAGTAGGGCCCCACTTTATGGCATTTTGCCTTACAGTGTTCTGCTAATACAGCAATTTCAGATTATGACCAGAATTTGCTATGCAGTGAGCGGTCTTTCAAATACGGCATGCCCCACCTGGTTTGTTTACATTCTCCATGAGCACAACTCTCTATTATGTCTGGAAATTTTCCACAATTTCAAGTGTTGTAAAGTCATTGCATATTTTATATGTACTCTGATAATTATACATATGTGTACCTGTACCTAAATATACTTACTGTGCTGGCATGCAGGTACACATTAAAATCACTAAGTCTCTCTCTACTCAACACCATATAACCTCTTGGGCACATTAAACGTCGTGTACAGGTCCTCCATCACAAATCCGGCATCATTGGGACCTGTAGTGTGCCGGATTACAGAGTGGTTAGGTTAGAATACACTTAATAAAATTAACCAACTTGACTTACACAGCTCATTGAACATCGGCAAAAATTGAACATTTCCGCTACTTTGAGCTCAATTTCAAGGTACTTTTCGTTATGAAAGCAACCAAAATCACGTCTATTTCTGTAATATATCTTCCATTCTATCAAATGAGTCCAAAAAAATGAGAATACAACCATAAAAACATACAAAAATATAATGCAAAGAGACGGCTAATGGCTGAGAAGTGAACTCCCTTATTTATCGTCCGTCTTTTTTATTTTTGTTGTACGTTAAGAAGCATCTTTCCATCATACATTGCCCAAGTTTCAATGAGATAGCCCAGCAAACAACCAAGAAAAAAAAATATTTACCAAAAATCATATATGGCAAGCCCAAGCCAGGTACTGGAAATAAGTCACTTTGTCTGACTTTTTTGGGTTATCCTAGGTTCTCTAAGCATACACTGATATGTATGACAATCTATGTACCTGTATTTGTGTATACCTGAATAAACTTATTTACTTCTAGTCTGTCAACTGAATACAAGAAACCACCCATTCACTTATTTCAACTACCCAACGAAGTGCTCAGAAATTGGCAGTTTGGCCAATTTCACACAAATTTCAACAGATGCCAATTTCAAAATAGGGTCCAGAATAAACAATGCAGAAATTCCTGGCACTAAAATAACATTTTCTCTGCTCATTAGTCATGGCTACAGGCCCCTCTTATATTACTCTTGCTTACCATTTGGAATTTTTTTTCTCAAAAAAAAAAAAATAGAAGATTTACTGTTATGCAGACTATTGCATTATTGTAATAACTGCATAAATAATGTCAATCCATTCTTGACTCCGTACTGGAATTTAGACTGGCAGGCAGACAGGTATAGGACGGTGACGTCATTTGTTTACTCTTGAGCTTCGCTAAAGAATAGAACATTTTCACTACTGTGAGTGCAATTTCAAGGTACTTTTCGTCATGAAAGCAATCAAAATCATATCTATTTCTGTAATATATCTTTCATTCTATCAAATGAGACCGAAAAAACGAAAATATAACCATAAAAACATACAAAAATATACCGCTAAGCGGCCGCTAATGGCTGACAAGTGAACTCCGTTATTTATGGTCTGATTTCTTTCATTTTTGGTCTACTTCAAAAAGTATCTTTCCATCATACATTGCCCAAGTCTGAATAAGATAACTCAACAAGCAACTAAGAAAATAATAATAATATAATAATAATAATAATAATAAAAATAATAATATCTTTATTTACTACACATACATGTACAAGGTATACAGGCCTAGCTGACATCAGTGACATACTACTGTATAGAAAGCCCTTTGTTGTGCTGAGTATTTCAAGAAAATTAGGTCAGTGTCCCAGGATAACACCCACACCAGTCCACTAACACCCAGGTACCCATTTACTGATGGGTAAACATAGACAACAGGTGTAAAGAAACACGCCTAATGTTTCTACCCAGGCTGGGAATCGAATATTTACCAAAAATCATATATGGCTAACCCAAGCCAGGTACTAAAAATAAGCCACATAGACTTTTTTGGGTTATCCTAGGTACTCTACACATATGCTGCTATGTGTGATAATCTACATAGAGAAAATAACTTTTGTTTCATGTTTATGGTGCAGTACGAGTGTATATCACAGTTAGCCCTGTGCTACACTTCGTTTTCTCTAAGCCCCCAAGACAGGGATAGGAGAATAAGTAAGTAAGTAAGTAAGTTTATTCAGGTATACACAAATACAGTTACATAGAATTATCATACATAGCAGCATATGTACACCATATCTTCTTCATACCTCCGTTGAACTGCTCGGTATTATGCCAAATATTATTAATTCTGGAGTATTTAACATGCTTTATGTTATTTATATTGTTTATTATGTCATATTAGATCAATTGTGATAGGCAAATAAGCTGTAGTGTTGATATAAGCGTAATAATAAAGCGTATTCTCCTGTTTCATGAGACTGAGTTCATGGCAACTGACAGTGGTTTCAAAGCCACCTTATCTTTAATGGATAATGTACTGTGTAGGTGCTTTACATAATGAGAAGTATTTCTTTTACTCATTAGAACCATGGCTAGGGCTAAAAGTAAGCAGGTTAAAACAATAAATGGAGAAAAAGAAATTGGAATAACTTATGCAGCAAGTAGGGCCACAAAACAGTAGCAGCAGGTTGGTGTGGCGACCCTGGAAATTTGAAATTTTGCTAGCCAAAATCAGTGCCGAATAACTGAAGGAACCGAATAACTGATTGCCGGATTTGTGATGGCAGACCTGTATTACGTTAACCCTTAGGAGGTTTCGGACGTACTAGTACGTCTTACTACCCAGGGTTTTTGACGTACTAGTACGCCTAAATTCTAGCGCCCTCAAATCTAGTGACAGAAAGCTGGTAGGCCTACATATGTAAGAATGGGTCTCTGTGGTCAGTGTGCGCAGTATAAAAAAAATCCTGCAGCACACAGTGCATAATGAGAAAAAAAACTTTCACCGTGTTTTTGGATTAAAACAGCGACTTTGCACTGTATTTTTGGATTAAAACAGCGACTTTGCATTGTATTTTTGTATGGTATTTATTGTTGTATTCTAGTTTTCTTGGTCTCGTTTTATAGAATGGAAGACATATTACAGAAATTGAGATGATTTTGACTGGTTTTACAATGAAAAGTACCTTGAAATTGAGCTCAAAGTAGCAGAAATGTTCGATTTTTACCAATTCCCAAATTAAAACCTCCAAGGTAATTTAAAACAACTGGGAGTCTAATTTTTTAAAGTGCCTTATTATGAACCATTTCATAAGCATAGTTTTCAAACATATCTTTTTTTTTGTAAGAAAAAAATTCAAATTTTACCCCAAAAATATAAGACCTGGGATTATTTTATAGGCTGTTATTTTGTCAACTTTTTTATTTTGCCTATTAAATTTCATCTGAAAATTTTTGAAATGGCAAATTCTAAAATTCTGGAATTTTAATTTTTCGGGAAAAGGGGGTTTCTTGGTTTTCATGAAATTGGATGTTTTAGCTATTCTATTTTGTCGATGTAACTGAAAGGCCCA